TCTCTCTCTCTCTCTCTCTCTCTCTCTCTCTCTCTCTCTCTCTCTCTCTCTCGCGCGCGCGCGCGCGCGCGTGCGCGCTCGCGGCACACACTGAACTGTGCAGACACCAAACGGTTTCGCCGAGATCATGAAGACGACCGCAGAATTGCGCACACACCGAACGGTTTCGCCGAGATCATGTGATCGCGTTCCAGCACAGGTGCTCCCCGGTTGCCTGTGCGATGTTATATACATCACCCCGCCCTGGCTTCATGATCTCCCCAGCAGTGTTTGTGAGTGTGTGTGGCAGTGAACAACCCCTCCCGAAAACCAGGTGCTCACATCGATTCCACCCGATGACCGGTGCACATACCGATTCATATATATATATATATATATATATATATCATCGGGATGACGGGTCTGTGTCCCCGCTGCTGAAGCTGTCCCCCCCCCCCCCCCCCCCCCCCCCGCAGGGCAAGTACCCCCACCAATAGTTCCAACACAGAATTTCCTCCTCTCATTGCATCGCCCACATCACCTACTCTCGCTGCAATTGCCGTGCCTGCTCTTGTTGTCGCTGTCGCCAGGGTGGCCGCCGCATTGTCAAGTCCCTGACAATACGATCTCGTTGAGTCTTCCATTACTTTGCCCAAGGACGATCCGCCTGATCAGCCTTCATGCACCCTCGCCTTGCCGGTCCCTGTTCGGCGTGCCTTGTTTGAGCTGTCCGACTCTTCCATCCCCGTTGCGTCGGATCCGACCGTCGGTGATGGCTCCTGTCGTTTCCTCGGGAGTGACTCCGATGCCATAGTCTTGTCGCACTGGATGGATGGTCGATCAAGTTTCCACGTCATCGCGTCCCACAACGCCTTCTCGAAAGACAGCGGCAGTTTCCTCTCTCTCCGCTCTTCAATTGTTATGTCAAAATACGATGGCTCCCCCGACTTCTTCTATTGCTTGTCGAGGATGAGCTTCGCCGTTGTCATCATGTTCGTCCACTTCTTCCGACAATCCTCCGTTGTCCTGTGCATGTACCCGACATCCTTCATCCGTGCGACAATCCATGCGTACCGATCCTTCATCGCCATCATGCGATGTTGGTCGTTGGCGTCCACCATGAGGGCGTCGTCCTTTTGCATCATCCTCGCGAGATGGATCCTCTCGTCCAATGTCCACGGCACCTTCGGTTTGGGGTTGGCGGTCGGAGGCCGCCCGCCACGACGCTTCTGCTGCTTAACCTTCGCCACATTCACATCCTCGCCTGGACGCCCTTGAACCCCCCCCTCCTCCACACGACGACCACCATCTTCATCGTTCATCTCCCCCTGCTGCGTGGAAGTGTCGTCGTCGTCGTCTCCTTCATCTGCCCCGTAACTGGACCCGCCCGTGTCATCATGCCATGTGCCCTCACCATCGCCAACTCCTCCAGGCGTCCAACCGGTTGTATCCGCCGACACTTCACCGTTTTCATCGCTGTCGACGTCTATCATGGACGCCGACTGATTGCTCGAAGTGCGTTTGCATGACGAGGGGGAAGGGATGGAACTGCCCCCAAATGTCGGCTGGGTGCTTTGCCCCAACGCCCGCCGACTGCTTTGCCCACACGGAGCCGTCCATGGCGGCTCCGCTACGCAGCCATACCCACCATCCATGGCCTGAGATGCAGGGAACACATGACCGGAGATGCCAAACGCCGTTCCGGCGGGTATGGATTGCACACCTGGCGGTGCATACCCGCCAGCAAGCTGCGCGCTGAACGAAGCGTTAGCGACGTACCCTGCCCCGGCTGGCATCATCTGTGGTGCAGGGCGCGAAGGCAATCGCGGACGTGCAATCATGGACTGCATGCGCGGCATCGACATCCCAGGTCCCGAAGGAACTCCCATGGCCTGCCCTTGCATTCCCTCGACGGCTCCCTTGTGGAACGGTAGCATACTTGGGGGTGGGGATGCAGCATATGCGACACCTGCATGCTGTCTAGGATCTGCCACCTGAAAACCGCCTTCCCCACCGGCATTCGGATCCGCCCTCCACCGCGACGAATCCATCACGACGGAAGAYGTGCGAAAGATCCGATCTTYCCCSCACCCCAAASAGTRACAGGCCCTTGCAACACCTGTTCGCGCAACAATGTCTTGCTACGCACACARCGTGAACACGGCCAACAATAGTACCACTCCACACAGAATCACCGCCAACAACACCGCTGCAGCCAACGCAAAGAAGAACAACAGCACCACCAAAGACGCATTCACACGATAACACAGTCGGCCGCTGTCATCCACCCCGTTCGTTACGAAGATGTAAAYARGACGGCAGTAKCAGCACTGATGATGATCGAYCGTCGACCGTGTTYGAAGATCACGCACTCCCACTTCGCCACTGAACGGCAACGGGCCATGCACGTATTCACGTGCATTCACACCGTCCACAACGACTCTCTCCGTCATGCCAGAGCGGTTGTGCGAAGATCGACCATGCGGAGGTTGGCTTGAAGTACGAGCAACCGCCGTTGCGATCCCGGATAAGTGTGGAAGGAGCACCCCTCCAGCGAACGACGACGAAGGCCGAACCGCCAGATAGGATTGCGCACTGCACACTCGTGTGGCCAAAAGCCCTTGCCTCCGTGATGGTACTGGACATGCACGCGCCCAACTTCCACCCGTGCCGTGGACATAACGAGGACGACAACATCCCACAGCACCCCCTTCAGACAACTGCCTCCAACCACGCACACACGCCTCACGGCTGCTCCTCGCTGCACGAAGAACCGCCGACATTGTTAACGGCCGACTGTGTGTGAAGTCGACGACGGCCGGCCCGCACTACGCATGCCCCAGCACTGCATGGATGGTCRACGTGCGCWCTCCGCGAATTCGAATTTCCCGCCAACCCGTGCGARGCGGGCGACAACACCCATGCGGAATGCCCCGCTCCCACAGCCCAACCCATTTCGAATTTTGTGCCCGTTGCAAATTTGGCACACGGGACCGCAAGCCCCCGCGCAACGGAACGGTCCCACACCCGAACGGTGCGACGCACCACTGATGTCCGTGGTTTGAAGAGACGGTTCATTCCATCGTGCACCGGACCAGGCCGCTCGTGCCCTGGTACGGCATCTTTGGGGGTGCCCCCCCCCCGTCTCAAAAAACTTCGGTTTTGGAAAACAGTCGCCGGACGGTCTGACAGTTTTTTCCAGCCGCCGACCATGTGGAAACCCTTCCGACGGCTTTCCACGACAGTCTGGCACTGGCAGTGGGGTCCCGAATTCGCATTCGCGCACCTTCCTGGCGGTCCAGTGGGGTCCCGTAAACATGGAAATGGAAAATGACTTCCATGCCGCCGGCCAGTGGGGTCCAAGCCAAAGTTGGCGCTAAAAAATTGCAAGATTGGACCCGCCTGCGCCTTCCAGTCGGCGGCCCCCCTAAAAACCCACCCTAACTCAGCGGAATGCCAATTTTCAGGACCCGGCCTCCCCGACCTCCTGCGGGCAGCTACCGGATCCAGTCCCCTCGACCTCCTGCGGGCAGCTACCGGTCCTCCAACAGCGAAAACTGCCTATTTCCCACGAATTGGACCCCCAGCAAATACACCACCCTTCCAACTACTGCACCGTTTGGTGACGACGACGAAATGTCTCAGGGGGGGAAAACGCAACCCTGACGGGCTGCGAACAGGGACACTCACGCCCCTCCATGATGATGGTGCCTTTGCAGAGTGATGCTCCCTCCCCTGGCACTACCCCTCAAGACGCCAAACCCCAAGGCAGAGCCCCCCAAGGTGCCCTGTAGTGTCCTCCCCCCTGTTAACCCCCTACAAAACCCGTGTATTGTATCAGCTGGTGTACTATGCTAGGCTGTGGGGCACCACCAAGGTGCCCCTCGGGATAGTGTCATTCCGCCTGTCAACCCTCTAAAGGGGCTGGGGTGCACGATGGGGCAGAGTGCGTCCCCCTGTCAACCCCCGAAAGGACTCATGTATCGTAACAGCTGATGTGTACTGTGCTAGGCAGGCTGGGGGGCAAGTATGTGGGGTGTCAACCTAATGGGGAGTAAGAGTAATAAGGCCTGCGCAGGGGAGGCTGATGGCCAACAGAATCGAACCCGCCAACCTCCCCTTTGCAACTCCAGTGCTGTAACCAACTGAGCTTTCATGTACTGCCGAACAAACACCCTCTCAAGGCCCTGCGGAACTTGAATCATCCCGTTCCCAGCTCCCACAGTAGAGCAACAAGAATGGAAACGAGAAAAGGCGCGCATCATGCATGGTCTTCCCGTTTCTGAAAAAAAACGAAACTGAAACGTGGGGTGGGGCGCTGTCGAGCGCGCGTGGCTTTTCCCTCGTGAACCGCGTTCTCGCTCTCCTCTCGGCCGAGCGTTTTGGGCGGGTCGGTTGGCGCGCGGGGTGCTGCCTCGTGTAAAACTGGAATGGAATCAGGGGCATTGTTTTTTAGGGGTAACTTCAGTAGGATCACAAAAACGAGTTATAATTGCACTATAGGGCAAGATACAGTTTGCAATTGCACTTCGGGCACCCTACCTGGCCAGCAAGCTGGGTTGTATGCATTGCCCGAACTGCAATTCGAAACTGTATCTTGGCCCATGGTGCAATTATAACTCGTTCTTGTGCTTCTGGTGTAGTTTCCCCTTCTTTCTTTTCTGTTCTTCTTTTCAGTATCTCTGAGGCTCGGGAGGATAACGCTCTCGATTCCAACTTTCCTTCCCAGAAAGAAAAATATTCAATTGCAATCTCTGATCTGATCGAAGGCCCGTCTCTTCCTTCTCTGACGATGGCCGTCCACAGTCGACCGTCGATTGTCGATCGACCGCCACCCATCCACTAGATCCGCTGGATGGGGTGGGGTTTGAATAGCTGGTAGGGTCGGAATAGAAATTGAATATGTATGGAGAATATGGAGATATATGGATGGATATGGGAAGATAGGAAGCATGTGTTGAGGAGGTTCAAGCCCTCCCTTTTTTTTTTCTTTATAGAAAGAAAGGAAGCGTGTCTTGAGTAGTGATACCTGTAGCATCGGGCAGAGTGCGCTATCCTTTGGCCCACGGAAATGCTATGGCCGTGTTCTCTCCGTTTCTTTGGAATATCGAAGCAGAACAGAAACAGTTTGTCGCAGCCCCTCGTTTGCTGTCCTCTTCTCTCTCTCTGCTTACGGTTTACCGGGCAGTTCTGTTTGTGACGATATATATATATATATATGACGATATATGACATATGTAACAATGTTTACAGTTAATAGACGTAGATGTGCGTTTGTGAGAGCAACTGCTTGAGAGTGCTGGTCGCAGTGAATAGCTGTGTGTGGCAATAAAGGTATATATGTACATAGGTGAGTAGATGTATGCGACACATGTGTGCGACTCTTGGAAATGCCGAGAAGTGGAGGGTATGGCCATGCTATCCGCCAGATTGCCAAAAATGTCACCTTGTCGATGGTGACACGGCGGCGAGAGAGCGTGCGACGGGGTCGGTGAAGAACATACCCGTCCCGAGAGAGAGAGAGAGAGAGAGAGAGAGAGAGAGAGAGAGAGAGAGAGAGAGAGAGAGAGAGAGAGAGAGAGAGAGAGA